TTTTTTTTTCTTTTGCTTCTCTTTCCCTTTTCTTTTTTCTCACTCTCTCTATAAACCTAGCGTCGTCGCCGAGAGGGTGGAGAAAGGCGGCGGCGTTAGGTTTTACCTTCTTTTTCTTCCACTTTCTTTTCTTTCCATTTTCTTTTTTTTTCTCCTTCTTTCTCTCTCTGTATCGGTGGTTTAGGGATTAGTTTGTATAAAATGAAAATGGGTTCCATATAGTGCTACTTAGTGCTTCACTAAGTCCAAATTACAATCAAGTTCCTCATTTTAATTGGTTTTGTTTACCATGGAAAACTAATTCCACACATCCCCACACGTGCACCAATTGTAGGAAACCATTTTCCAGGTTAATTTTTTTTTTTTTTGCAATGAACACAAATTTTATCACCAATTGTAAAAAAAAAAATTCCCGTTAATGGACAATTTCCATAAAAACCAAAGTCAAACGATACACCAAAAGATCCAAAATTTAAATATTTTTTACGTGAAAAATTATATCAATCAAATACAATTAATTGACAATTTCCAGGAAAACAATTCTAGTCAATTCAATTCCCTGGAATTCATTTTCTTTCACCCAAATTCCACTCTTACAATTAAATGGACCCTTAGTAATTTCCATAATTGAAAACTAAATCCCAAAATTCTATTTTATTCGTCTTAATCCCTTATTAAATACTAATTTCCTTCATTGTGAATAATTAGTTTTGGTATATTCAAAATGATATCCTGGATTAGTAAAAAATTGAAGTTTGAAAGACGTACCCACGTACCCGTGTTTGAAATTTGGACTCTTTTTAGCCATATCCTCGTATCTTACATTCTAGAATATAAAAGATCTGACACTTAGATACATACTCGTACTCGATACTTGTACCTGAGTCCGAGCATCATAGGTCGGAACAATCAGAAAAGCTTGGTCTCTTAGATTTTCTAGACCAATAGTACATTCCTTGATAATATGCACATTATGTTTACAATAATTGTAGAATTTCTTACTACAATTGCGAGCAATATGTCTGAATTCCATGCAACTGTAGCACTGCATCAGCCCCTTTCCTCGATTCTATCCTTGCTGCGTATGCAATATTGACCACCTCGGAGGTTTCCTAGACAGAACCCATACCAGCTTGTGTATCCAATCTTTGTTCCTCACGCAACAACTCACGAAGGACACATCTAAAGAATGGACTGGATCTCTATTCAATAATAGTCTTGAATATTCAAGTTACCTTGAAATCTCCTTGCATTATTATCTTGATTGTAGACTTGCCTCAAATAATTATAAATCTCCTTACCCATGCTAAAAGATCGCGAGTTATTCACCATGTGAGGTTCAATTGATCCCAAAATCCAAAAAATAATACAAGCATCTTTTGTTTCCCATTGACTTAGTTCTTTAGCTTCCTTAGGAGCCGAAGAAGTTCCATCATTATGACCTTAAAGCTTTTTGCCTTTAAGGAACATTTGGAATTGAAAAGCCCACGCTGCATAATTCTTACCGGTGAACTTATCATAAAAGGCCTTGGTAAACATACTAACAATTGAAAATAAGCCCATAAAAAAATTAAAATAATTATAGTTGTGAGAAAGAAAGCCCAACAATAAAATGAGCCCACAATAATTGCACCAAAAACAACTATTCTAGAGAGCCCACAAACCAAATTAACCAAATAGACCTAACTAAAAGCATCCCAAATAAAAAGAACAGCAATACCGATTAATCATGAAACTGATCACCGACGAGAAGGATTACCAACGGAGAAGGCAACCACCAATGGAAAAGGCAAACACCCACAAATATGGTAAAGGAAGACAAAACTCCAACACCAAACCCAACCAGTGAAGATGGACCAAGACACTGCAATCAAAGAACCACCAAGTATCGCGGCCTAAACTCCCAAAGGCGACGTCAAAACTAGAGAAATCGAAGAACTCAGTCTATTATGCTCGGAATCGAGTATGGATACGTATTCAAGTATCGAAACTTTTATTTTTTAAAATTTAAGATACAGGGACGTGGCTAAAAAGAGTCCAAATTTCGGACACGGATATGTGAGTACGTCTTTCAAACTTCAATTTTTTTTCCCAAACATTCACATGTAAAAAGTTAAATAATAATTAAGTGCAAACTGTTAAAAAATAGAACATATTACTTGAAACCAACTAGAAATTTATACTAAGTTTAAATCACCAAAAACATAAATGTATATATCCCTGTAAACCTACATAAATGTTTTTTTTTTTTTTACTTAATTAGGCTGATTTAAAGTAGATTTTGATTGGGAGAAAGAGTTTCCGGGTTGTTGCATTTCTTTTCGAGGCAAGGGCAAATACAAAGCAGCAGTGATAAATTAATGGGCCTAATTTTTTTTTTTAAAAAAGCACAAAACTAAAGGCCCAACTTTTATTTTTTAAAAAAGCCCAAGTCCAACAAATTCCTTCCTCCTTCCCTAATCCATACCAAGCTTCGCGATTGTCTGCAACAATGACGGCATCTAAGTTCCAACTAGTAAGTTCTGCCCTTGGCCGTGTCCGTACCATATTTCATATCCGTACCCATACTCATGTTGTATCGTCAGGGGTATACCGGTCGGAAACAAGAGCCCGAGCATCACAGAACTCGGCGATGGATTCTAAAGGTAAGCTCTGAAACCATGACAAGATTTCGACCCTCAATTCGTGAGGACCCCTTTCATTAAATAGATAACAACTAGATTTTATCAATTACAATTAAGGTTTTAGACTATCTATAGTAAGTATAATTACACCATATATTGAAAGGTAATTACACATGTAGACTAATTATGAAAATAGTTAATTTCTTCCGTTCATAGAAAGTAAAGCTGATTGCTAAGACACGTACAATTTTACCCCCTACAGATTGTGTTTCTTAAACCTTTTGATTGGTTCGCCCATTTTTTTTAGGAAGTGAAGATAGGAATTTCGTTCATCTACTTATAGCTATCACTATTAAACAATGTAGTGGATTCTAAAACAGTGCAACCAATATGCACTCTTAGCAACGCAGATTTTTAATACATATAGACCAACATTAAATTTAGTTAATATATAATAAGCATTTTTTGTGTTAAATAGAGATACGGCCAATATGAGATCAAGGCCTAGTTCAAGTGATAAAAATGAAGCAATACTAGGTCACTGACCTTGGTTCGAGTCTCATTTGGGAGATAAGGTGAAATTCAGGAAAGAAAAAGAAAGATATTGCCAATATGTAATTCATTCAAGTAACAACGATTCAAAAGCTATGGGGAGGCACCAAATTCAGAGCCTATTACCAAATTATCCAAAGAACCTTTTGCTTATTAGAAAGTTTGAGTCAAGCAATTTTTTTGTAGAAAGAGAAGACCGCAATAAGTCTATACACAGTTTAAACTTTCCTCGATTAAAGGGGTAGGGTGAAACTTAGGCCTCCCACAAAAAAAAAAAAAAAAAAANACCGCTAATTGTGGTGCGGAAGCGTTTATGTGAAATTCTTGTAATAAAAATTATGTAATAAATAAGAACAATATTTGAACAATCATATCTTGTATATTATAATGTCTTGTATATATTGAATAATAATTGATTGTTGTTGAAAAGTGTACAATACTTCTATATTTATATGCAAAATTATTCTATAATCTTATTAATGTAAGGAAACTAAAATTTAGAAACTAATAAAATCTTAATCTTAAAGGAATTAGAAATCCTATTCTAATTAAATGAGAATAAAAAAGTAAAATTTATTACAATAGACATCTTATTATAAGTATCTAATCATAATCCTATTTACAATAGGATTGTCCAATATCAATCTCTCCTAATTGAAAAAAAAAAAAAACTCACCCTCAAGTTTTGTTGAAGAAAATAATCATTGATAAATTGTGTATTCGAATTTGGCTGGGACTCGAGGAAATTCTTTAGCTACATGTTGTCGTGTTCTATGCTTGTTGAAAAAACCAACATTTATAGTAGTTAAGGTCTGCAAATTCTTGTTAGCTTGCTTCACGATTCCTTTCAAGACTCAACACAGTCAGTATCTACACGATGTTATAAAGGGTTTCATCGATCACCTCGATTCGTTGTTCGACAAATTAGTTCATCGTCGGCAGTTCGACTACCACCAGTACCCTCGTCGGCCATCGGAATAGGGCAATTTTCTTGCTCTGATACAAATTTTGGTGCAGAAGCGTTTATGTAAAATTCTTGTAATAAAAATTATATAATAAATAAGAACAATAACAATATTTGAACATCATGTTTCGTATATATTGAATAATAATTGATTGTTATTGAAAAGTGTACAATGCCTCTATATTTATGGACAAAATTATTTCATAATCTTATTAATGTAATGAAACTAAAATAAAGAAACAAATAAAATTCTAACCTTAAAAGGAATTAGAAATCCTATTCTAATTAAATTAGAATAAAAAGATAAAATACAATTAGACATTTTATTATAAATATCTAATCATAATCCTATTTACAATAGGATTGTCCTACATCAAATTGTTAGAAAAAAACTAATGCTCATCGACTTATAATATCATAAGCAAACAGTGGAAGGGACCCTAAGACAGTACAACCATACGCACACCAAGCAACACCCAGATTTTCAATTCATACAGAGCAACATTAACTTTAATGTTGATATATGAAGCATTTTGAGTTATATTTAGACTCATAAAGATACAGCCAGTATGTATTTCGTGCAGTGACAATGATCCAAAAGCCTATGGGGGTGACATACAAATAAAGAACCTATTGCTAAAGTATCTGAAAAGATCCTTGCTGTTTCACAGTCACTCAGCAATGTTCACAAAAGAGGTAATTCTTAGGATTTTAATTATTAAAAAAGCTTCAAATATCAAGGTAAATGGAAGCACTGAAATTTATTCATACAATTTGATATCCAGGTAAGGTAACATGACCTGAAAAGAAAAGAGAGAATAGTGCACATTTCATAAGAACATATGCATACTAATACTTACGTTGAATACACAATAACTCCACCAGGGCGCACAAGCTGCACAGCCTCATCAAACATTCGTCTTTGATACTTGGCATGGGTCCGCAATGATTCCATGGTCTCCTACATGTAGCAATCAATATAATTAAGCAAACTAGTTTCAATTGAAAAAGGTAAAATAAGGAAAAATGGTACACGCTTGAAGAATTCAAAATGTATAAAGTAAAGAAGAAAACTCTGCAAAGAAAAGACAATGAGGAGATTGGAAGAAGTTAAAGTTTAGGTATAAGGAAATTAAATACTACGTGAACTCAGTATTAAGAATTAACAAAATATCAAGTCAAACTTCTAGGGCAAACTACTCAGAAACCCATCCTCACTCTCAATTTATTTATAGAGATTCGTAGCTTTCGATATCGTATCAAAACTTTCAATGGCAATTATCCTAGTTTCTGAGCATGCTCGTAAGATTTCCATAAGAAAGTTTGTTGTATATGTGGCTCATATAGAGTGTAACACAAGTTTACTGGATCAAAATGGCCGATGCCGGAGCTGAGCAGAGTGTTAGGCTTGGGCTAGAGTTAGTATAAATACTAATGATATAATCCTATTATTCATACAGAATAAAATCTCAGCTTCACTCCTTGTGGACATAAGCACATCGCCGAACCATGTTAAATACTTGTATTGATTTTTCTATTTTTTTGCGCTTAAAATCCAACAAAGTTCAACTGAATAGACAATACATTTCTTTTTCCTGATTTACTCATCGCTGGTATAGGCGTGTGACGAAGCATGGTCACATTTATCAAAATTTTAATCAAAGCACAACTGCACAAATAAAACACACTTTCCAAATACTAATTTAAGTGGGGAATATTTATAATTACAAATGATACCATTGTCATCATCTTAATGAATTTCATAAACTAGACTAGAATAATAATTTACTAATTCTAGAATCTAGATTAAATATTTTTAATTGTAAGTTATAACTGTCCCTGTGGGCTTGATCTCTAAATTTTAGAAGTTGTTAATGTTGACAACCAAGCTTACTCAAGCTGTAAAGAGTTCAGTTTGGATTGTGTTCTGAAAAGGGAAAATTGTAACCACCATCCCCAACCTTTACCTCCTTTAGCACTACCATCCCCAACACTTCTTGTCTGTACCATCCCCAAACTTACTTTTTTAGCGCCGTCTTTGATGATGGAAACCATTGAAAAATTTATTAACTAGGCATGTGCGTCTCACATCCTTAATAAGGCGAGGGTATAAATAAGCAATTAAAGTTTTAGACAGACCAAAAATTTAAATAAAACTAATTTCTCTTTGTAAATTAAGCATTGTTTTTGGAATGAATTAATCATCAAAGTGCAACTGTAAATGAAAAAAAAAAAAAATCTATACACAGGTGGCAGATAATACTCTATTTCATTCTCTTGGTTTGAGGGAAAACGGTTAGAAATTCAAAGTTTGAAAATTTACTACATAAAGGAGTATGTGTCTATGAAGAGTATGCCGTGTTGAAGGCCATCTTTGAATGTGCTAGATTTCCAACTAGATGTGAAGAGTTCCCCACATGTCCTGAATTTGAAACATCCTTCTCTTAGTTGCTAAAACAAAAGCTCAACAACCAAAATACTGTCAGGACTTGACATTGATACAACTTTGAAAGATTTAACAGAAAATGATCTATTAAGGAAAATGGCAATGGAGGCCAGGCACTGCAGTGGAGAAGATTTTCTTTCTTTTTGGTATTTCTTTTATTGCTAGCTTATATTATTTTATTACCTTTGCCTTATTAAGCATGTGTTGTGAACATGACTAGTTAATACAAATTTTGGACCGGTTCCCCAGTATTAAGGACGACGGTCGCTAAAAAAATGAATGTTTGGGGATAACACTACCAGGACATAAAGGTTGAGTACAAAAGTGCAAACTGGGGTAAAGCTCGGGTATTTTCCCTCCTCAAATGTAATTTGGTTAGATAGGAATATGAGGAGATAGATCATAAACACAGCTGGTGCAAACATTCATTGAGCCCCAGAATCAGCAGTCTACATTGTATAAATAATAAAGCAAGACCACAAATGTACGAATGTACTACAAGCAATGAGCCAATGCCAAGCAAGAGATATATGAGAAAAACTTGACCAAACCTTCATACCTCTCCAGCAAATAGTCGAGGTCTCAAACCAAGAGCGGAACAAGGAGCATCTAGGAGAACCCGGTCAAAGCTATTTGGTAGAAATCCTTTCGACTTTTCAACTCTGCCACCTAAGCAGTTATTTCTTCCAGGTCCATTCCTCAATTTCCGATTATTTTTCCTGAGCTCAGCTTTACTAACATGACTTTCATTCCCCAATTGCTCAAGGGTGGCTATATCCAGTCCATCGCAAATTGAATCATTCAGCTCAACATGCATAGTGAAAACAAATCAAGCAATATCCATCGTCCCACATAATAGATCATTTTTTTTTCCTATAAATCCGGTACTTTACAGTTTTTCATACAGCACTGATCGATTAACTCCACAATAATAAATATCTGACAAGACGCTTCACAATCATTATAGAGATTTATATAATGTAGTAGTACATATTCCACATCCTATTCAACATTGGACAACGCTCAGACAAAAAGTCATCTACACTTTTTTATCTTTCAATGCATTCTCAAAGAACCGTGGACTCATAATGAAGAAAGGAGCGACAATTCACATTAATATTGGAATTGGATTTAGGATTCGTCTTTTTAGACATACATGATGGTCATAGCACAGATAGATATCCAAAAGCACAAACAATCCATGTGACCCAGGAAACAAACTTCACTTCTTCACAAGAGATTGACATGAATAATTGGGTGTACATATACGCTATAAACATTCAAGACATCTAAGCATCAGTGTTCAATTAGATGTATTTCTACCTTTTGGCGCTTACTCCTATCATACACTTCCAGTGCGAGTTGACACATTTCCATTTCAATTGAATGTTACATGTAGGTTACACTATCACTTAAAACTTAAGAGAACCAATTCACAGCTTCCGTGGGTCATTAGGATTTGCGTTTCTTTCTTTTAGGAAGTGCACGGGTGTCTGCCAAAAGCCAGGGATACCAAACTGTACATAAAGAATTGGCAATTTCTGTATTTGTTATCTTAGAGCTACAAACATCTCCCCACCCCATAGTAAGTGAAGTTTCTCTCACAATGTCAACTATCTTTCTCCAATTGCAGCATTAATAGTTTTCTACTCCTTATTTCTTGTTGGTTTATATAAAACAAAAGAACGGACATGATGGCTAACCGAAAACCAAGGCCTAGAATTGTCTACTCATTTTGACTATGGATTCTGGATTGCAGCAATTAGCATATATCAAAAGCTGCATTTTCCGAACTCAGGGTACAGGTTCAGACTTTAGTCTCAAACCTCCAACCTTTCGACCCTGCAAAGACCTAGATAATAGCCAATTTCAAAACTCTGAAACAGAGAAGAGACATGTTTACTTATATTTCCACTTCAATGTACTTGTCATATAAATATAAAGTTATCAATTTGAATTCTTAGAATGCCCTACTAATGTTAGCTTCAGACGCAAAAACTACATCAACTTTTTAATCCGGTAGCATATATTAGGAGGAAGAATAATGACGTCACAAGGAGTCATTCAAGTGCCTAAATCTATTACATATAAATCTACCTTAATCTATAATATATTAAATATCACATCAATTGAGAATCATTTTTCTGGACGAGTTTAACCCTACTATAATTAAATTATTTCAATAAACCTTACTTTTCGTTTTTCAATATATAATAAAAATTACAAAATCCTTATCATGTATCTAGAAATTTTAATGGTTTTAAATTCATGTATTAATAATTAATTTGTATGTACCAAATGTAGAATAAAAAGATTTCTCATTTGTAGTATTTCATCATCACAAAAAATTTGAATAATAGAAGTTAAATTTTGAGTACAATTTTATTCTCTTAAATTTCTATCCTAAATTTTATTTTCTTTAGTTCATTAGGGATTTATCAAATCCTCCCAACAAATTGATATCAAATATTACTTTTACAGCACTTATAATGTAATTCAAAATAACATGCAATGCGTGTTCAACTCTAACTAGTTTAGTAAAGTAGCATAAGTAGTTTCTAGGAACATGTATTGTTAAAGCAACAAGGGGCACTAGGGTTAAACCAACCTAGACATAACTAATCAGCCAAACACTCATGTAGAGCCACAAAATTTATGATTTTCCAGTCATAAACAGATATAGTTGTGTTATTCAGGAAATAACTCACCCTGTGTGCCACCTATAGCTGTGCATGGTATTTTCTCTATTCCTGCAGCCAGAGAATCTGAAATTCCAATGCTTTCAATTTTCTTACCACATTGTGGACTATCCTTTCTATCAGATGCACTCATCCGTTGGACAGATTTCAGTGCATCAAGCTTGTATGTGGATATACATTTCAACCCCAATTCAGCTGCTAATTTTTGGATCTCAAACACCTGTAATTTTTTTGTATAAAGGAACAGATATACATTTCAATATAGACACATTGCACACCAACAAGCAAGAGTAATGCTATTCAGAACAAGTGGTTCTATTACACCAGTTTAGGAGGCATTGTATGATATGTCAGTCCCATATTCCTTATTCCACATATACAGAGAGGCGGGAGAAAAAACAGAAGAACGATGTAATTCTATTCTGAAATTTCCAATTCAAATGCAAAAATTCTGCCAAAAGTAGCTAAATTTTTGAGAAGGCAGACTGGAAGCAACATAACAACTCACTGTTATCATTTCTATTTTCAATACAGTTATTCTGGATTTAGTAGCTAATACCTAAAAAATCTATAACCCATGGGAGATATCAACAATATGTCCCGCGTCCAGCACACAGTGGCCCGCTCTACCTCAATACCTTCTTGACCAATCTGCTAAATGGCGAGCATACTTACATGGCAGGATGGGGTTCATTGTAATACCACGAACTTCACATTACTCGGCCAATATAATTCATGCATCACATGCTATGTAAGTTGCCATTTGCATTTGCATCGATAGTTCATAATTGCTTTCTCTTATAATGGTACATTCGGTCATTGAGGTTTTAATATTTTTATATGGTATTAATATTCGACCTCCCCGGCCTAGGTTGTGAATTTTACATTGAGCTGAGGTGGAAAATGACATTAATCGATGTGTTGAATATTGATTTGTTAAGAAATTGTAATTTTGGAAGTATCGCAATTAATATCGATAAGGTTACACACTTTTGATTTGGATTAATCAAGTTTACCCTAAACTCTAGGCAAGTACTTAACATATTTGGGGCACAATGCATGAAGTGACTTGATCACAATGTATTAATATAGAGTTCATGTGAAGTTATAAATATTGAAGTGCAAATCGTTGAAATCGGTAGAGAATTGGGTGTCAATCGTGTAAGTAATCGAATGAACGGTTAAGAAATTAGCTCAATAAAATAAGATCTTAGGGCAACAAGTAAAATAGGTTGTGAACATATTAAAATAGTCAAGAACACCAGATTTGAACCTGCAAAGAAAGTTACAAAATCAGATTTTACTACAAGGAGCCACCTCATGCTTGGACTTATTGTCTTTTTAATAGCAAATTCCTTCACTCCTAAGCATTCCTCACGTCTCCAACTCCTTTAAGACTTTATATACACCTCCTTAGTCACATATAACTCCTTCAAGGATAAATGCAAAATCAGATTTTTACTAAAAAGGAGCCACCTCATGCTTGTAACACTTGCCTCTAAACAACAATTTTATTAGTCCTTAAGAAAGTATCACAACCCCAATCCTTCAAAACTTTATATATACCTTCTAACTAAGAGATTTACTCCAACTTACTCCCAATTGAGTCCAAGTGAGAGAGAAAGTAAAGGAACCGAAGAGAAGTAGAAAACAAGAAGCTGCAAACTGAACTTCTGGGCAGGTGAGTATGGCTCACAGTTTTGAGGTTTCTCTTTATTATTTTTGAAGGTTTTATAACATATGAACTTGCTTGAGATTTATGTTGGGGTATTGACGATTTTATCCTATCCTACATAAATAAAAGAGTCACTTGGTGTCCTACTGTTCATGAGCCAAGCCGAGCTAAATGGTTTTATGGCTCGGCTTGGCTAGGCTAAGCCCTTTTTTTTTTTATACGTTTGGTTCAGTATTTTAAGTTACAAATATTCATTTTAAGTGATTTAAAAATTTATTGAAAATGTTGAAGTGCGGCCATGATAAATATATGATCGACAAATTTTAAATATCAAAAACAATTTTACATTAATTGTGAAACATAAAATCGTGATTATTTATGTTTCTTTTCAATCTCAACATCATTCCAATGTCTTTTTTTCGAACTTTATTTTCCTTCAATTTTTCGTTTGATTCGATATTTCACGATATGTATATCCATTTGGATCGATTTAAATTTTTTTAAAAAAACTTAAAATGTGATAATAATAAATATATTGTCGATAAGTTTAAATATAAAAATTATCTTAAATTATTAAACATAAAATTATAATCGTTAATTTTTCTTTTCAACCCCATCCCAACCCCATACTCACACCAATTTCTCTCAATTTCATTTTTCTTCAGTTTTTATGCTTAAAAAGGGTAAATTTATTGCATCAAAATGGATATTGAAGGAACTCAATGATTTTCAGAAGAATTCTTCTACATCATGCAGTGCTGGTAGACAAACATCTTCTATGAAGTGGATTATTTTGGTTTTTTTTAAAATGGATTTAGAGTACAATATCATTAGAACATACTGAAAAGATATTCGACATAATTTATTAAGTTAGGTAATCGTTTGTCATTCTTTTTGTGTCTGTGATGGAAGTTTTCGTTGTATTGTGGTTTTAATACTGATAGAAACCCTTGATTTGTCCTAAATTCTGTAGTGTATTATCATTTAATTAATTAGTCTTGACTACATACGTCTTGCTCTGGGTAAAGAAATTAAATACTACTGGTACAACTGATACATGTAATTGGAGATTCTATGAGCACGAGATGAAGGAGACATAATGCCTTACCTCAATAGGTAAAAAGAGGAGAGCTAGGTTGAACTTCATTATCTCTTTACACCTAATCATCTATGCCCTGTCTTTTTTTAAAAAGAACAGAGAGATCTTCAAACGCAAAGTCTAGAAAATAAGCTTTGAATCAAATATTGTAATATTATTTTTGTCACCTATTATCATTTCAAGTGTTTTAAGTTTAATGTAACTAATGCTTAAGACAAATAATTTTTTTTTACATTTACGCTATCATATAGCCAACTATACTATGACAAGTGCATTACACGTGCGTCTTACTAGTAATAACAAAAGAGGAGTAATTGGTTTGCAAGAACTTGAGTTAAATTACCATGACGGTTGCTGGATTTTAATTATTCAACCTTTGATTTTGTATAATACTTTGAAGGGAACATATATTTGATGAGTATGGTTCACTCATAGTTTGATTACCTCTTAAACTTTTTATTTTGATTGTCTTTAAAAGTTTTTAGATCTTTTTAATATGTGTTTTAATGTTGTTTTATAGGTTAGGTGAATTGGAGTGAATGGTATAAAACTTGGCAAAAATAGTAATGTTGGCATGAATCAAGTAGTGAAACTTGATAATTGGAGACAAAATGAAAGAAATAAGTGAATAACAACGAAAAAGGATGAAATCTAATGTTTGAGGACTAAATTGCATTTTTTCAATAGTTGATTCGGACCACGAAACGATAATTGAAGATTATTAGGAGTCATCCGGATGCAATTAGAAGTAAAAAAGAAGTGAAATATGATTTAAATATTTTCACAAATCAATTTTCAACAGCACAAATATGTTTCAGATTTTTTGTCGGAGATTGAAACCCATTTTTGACATAGTAAACGTTCGAATTGGAAAATGATATTTGAAACAAATTTGTAGCCATTTGAATTATCTTCCCAACACACTTTGAATCACCACAATCGGATGTCGGAAGAAAAAGTTATGACAAATATATTGAAGGATGCGCAGTACTCAATTTTCTACCCGAAATTGGGTGCCGTAGCGCCACTGTTTCTGAATTTCCACATCAGCGTCGCAGCACCGTGGACGGCTAGGGTATTTTATTTGCGTTGGACTTATTTTCAAGCCAAATTCAACTCCAATTCTTCAAGATGTTATAAACAAGGAAAATTCTACCAGGCAATCATCAAGAAATCAAGGAGACATCAAGAACATCGGAAAGGAGATTGAAGATCTACCAAAGCTAGTTTTTTAATTCTCCTCTATCATTTTATTTGAATTTGATTATTTGTATGACTTCCATCATTAACTAAACATCTAATTTAGGGTTTGATAAACCAAAACTAGAGGATATGATTTTATTTTATTTTAGTTATTTCTATGAAATTTTCCTTTCCATTTATTTGTGTTATTTATTTAATGCTTTCAATTAATTGGCCACTAATTGAATGATTATATACTAATCAATTTCGACACTCGAGAGGGGCATTTAGGCGCGATCATAACAATAACACAACTTAGATTTTATGCGTTTCAAGAGGTGTAGAATTTATGAAACTTGTTCCACATAAGAACCATGATGTAACACCCCGAAAATTTTAGAATAAAAATTTATTTGTTCTATATATTATATTTTTATTATTTTGAAGTTGAGGGACGGAAGTAATATATGTATTAATTTCAAATTTTGGGCTAAATTTTTAGATATTGTTAAAGCGACTAAAGTATATCATATGGATCTCGTTGGATAACTCATAATTAATCATATAAATTAGGCTCGAGAAAAAGTTAATTCAGATAAGTTAATCTCAAGATATTGAAGTTCAAAGAAATTGTAATTTATTTATTTTTAAATCAAAGTAAATTGGGATGATGATAGTCATGTGAATGGATGTGGAATAATTATTNATAAATAATGTGCAATTGTCCCACAATTCACCACTAAAGAAATTTTACACAACAGCTTTCATATAAAACAACCGTAAATTTCTAGTATATTTTTTTCAAAAGTTCGTTTGATCAATCAAGGTAAAATACGTTTTATGCAAGTGGTATGTTTCGGTATACTTTTATGTTCAATAATTTATGCACGAATTGCCGGTGGACCTTCTGGTTCTACCTAACGGAATGTGAACTCTTTTGACTTCTTTATAATGAAATGTGAAATTCTTTGGGAATTCAAAATGATAAATGATGGGTATCTCGCTTGGTCACCGATATACTCCATAAAGAGAAATGTGATATGAATAGTCTATGTTATTGTTATATAATTGCATATGCAAACTGCACGTATCTTACTAGATGTTTTTAAAATACTCATTCCTACAAATTTTTACAAGTTAGATCAGGTCGATTGGAGCTGTGGCGGGATGGTGCAGCGAACTACCAAGGGATTTCGACATACGAAAATATTAAGTTTTACTGCCTTTAAATTTAGTAGTTTGTTTTGTTCAATACAATTAATAT